TGAAGAGAAAACTAATCACTTTTTTTTTTTTTTTTTTACCTTTTAGTGTCTGTCTAAATGAATAATGTTCCCCTGTGTCAATCTCTGTGAGAAGTCAGTTTGATAAGGCTTAGGCTATATAACATGGCTAATTTGAGGTTTTAAGAGCCGCATCCCTGGGCACAACATCAGAATATCCATGGCATGGATCACATGATTAACAGGTGGAGAAGGAATAGGAGGTATTCTAGGAATAGACAACACTGTATGGCCATTTTAGGCTGCTGTTGTAAAACTAGAGCAGAAGACGGTGTGGCAGCACAATGAGCCTACAAAGGGTGGCAAACTTTACCGGATTAACCACGGTTAATCCTGTACGAAGTAGTATGAACTGTTGACCTCCCATCAGAATATAAAGGCTACGGTCAAGACCTCCAAATAAGCATCTTAGTCATATAAGCTCATTTCTAGACAGATTAAAACAGGCTTAATGATTGTTCCACTTTCATTCTTTGGATCAGTTTCAATTTTGATAATTGTCCATTGTCTCTGCCAGCTTGTGTCAATCATATGCAGAGAAACAGAATGAGTGACCTTGAAAGGTGTGTCCTTGTGCGTTCACACACACTGGACTTACTTTGGTGGGGGCATTATGAGGCCGAGGGTGCGGTACAGGATGGCTCCGATGACGAAATACGGTGTGTCGTCTGATTCTACGGGACAGAAAGGGTTAAAGTGTCAACATAATACATGAAACGTCCTGAATTTCCCAAAACTCCAAATGAATCGAATAATTCAATTCAATGAATGAACAAAAAGTAAGTAAATAAATTACATTAAACTTAAGTAAAAACTTTCTAATGATGAATTATTAATTAAAAGTTACAAAATAAATTCAGAAATATATTTATGTCATATGTGCAAACTGCATTTTCATATAAGTTTAAGTATTTCATTTCATATTTATATTTTATTTTATTTGAGCTTTTTAGCTTTTACTTTTTACATAAATTAATACATAAGAAATAAAATGCACATTGAACATTGATTAATATGCTTAAAATCAAATATGAAGGGAAAACACATCACATCACATGATCATAATATGCAGCTCCAAAAACAAAAAGCAGAAAATAAAATGTAAAATTGAATATATAACATTTTCATTTAAGTTTAAGTGTTTAATCTAATACACACACACACACACACACACACACTCACTCACTCACTCACACTCACACGCACGCACGCACGCACGCACGCACACACACACACACACACACACAC